CCGACGACATGGCACCTCGTGGTTATGAAGCTCATCTCAAATGTTCAACGGATGCAATGTATCATTGTGATTAAGTTGACGTGTGCCTTATTCACAAACCATGAAGTCCAAAGTTTAGTGAGTCTGTATCTCTTGCGTCTAGTTGTTTTACAGCCCTTGACGACAGGTTTTATAATATATGTACATATTCCTTATAAACGTCAAATTTGTTTCTATAGCTGAAACATTGCCGATGTGACGTTAATAAATATATATAAAATATATATAAAATATATATACAATACATCTGCAATGTTTCAGCCATATCGTGACGGAAACAAATTGCACATTGCAGATGTGACGTTAAAATATTAACTCACTCACTCACTGTATCTCTTGCCGAGTGTACACTGGCGTATTGTTACACATATCGTAAAAGGTTAGGTCAGACAGACACTCATATTGTTTTGCAGAAAATGAAATAAAATCTTTGAACAGGCTTGATGTCTACATATTTAACTTTCCAACAATAGGATCAGGTGAGATGTTAACATGTTGTGAATGAAATATTGCGAGTGTAGGAGACATTGTCCATTCATTGAATAAATCATTTCCACTTGTGCAAGCAAAGTATATGCTGCTCTATTCGATGTTTGAGTGGTGTAAATTTATTGTTGACGATATAACCAGGAATAGGAATAGGACATTCAATTCACTCACTCGTTCGTTGTTGACCAGGGGCGTAGCTACCATTAAAGAAATCCCCCGACATGATTGTTGCTAAAAAGGTTGGGCAAGACCTCAAATGATTGTTGTGAATACAAGTTTCCAGATTTTCTGTTTGTTATAATAAGGTTTGTCATATCAGGTTTGTAAAATGATTTTACGAATGTATACATACATAAATGAAAATCTACAGTCTGTTTGACTAGAAAGTGTCCCCATGAATTGCTAAATATATCAGTTAAGAAAGGTAGTTTATAAATATGACGAGGCAAGATGTTCATGAATAACCTATACCCAAACACCTTTTCAGCTATTAGAAATTGTCATGCATCACAGAAAAAGTTGTTTAACAAACTATCATCATTATAAACATGATTGTTGACAGCTGGCGCGGAGCGTCTGAGTCTTCGTCTCTTTCGACGGATACGGGATGTGTAATGTTTGAACCCAAGCAATCATATTGCCCTTACGAATGTTAGACGTCGGGGTTTTGTTGTTTGGATCCTGCACGCTGCGGCATGACGCATTGTCCATGACTGTAAGGGACTTATTTGGCAAAGCTGGAACTAACTTATTTTGAACCCACTCGAGGAATACGTCTTCATTCATCCCTGTATGGTAGTCTCTATTGTCTTTGGCCTTGGCTCTGAACACCAGATCACAGCCAGGTGGGAAGCCCTGGCTGGCGCATCCAGCATGGAGAATAATCAATCTTTCCCCCTTCCCCAGCGGCATGCAGTTTCCTCCGTGATCCCTTATTCCCATCGGGTACCCATTGACTGCTGGCAGTATGAGACGCATTTACACCGGCTCATACCCCGCATCACGTTTTTTCTGAATATCCGACAACAAATGAGGCCTACCAAGACGTGTAGCGTTGTTGGACTATATTTCATGATGAGTGAAGAGACAGGGTCTTGGCTAAGACTGAGTCAACGTAGATGTTTGTGTCCGCGAGAAGGCGAGATTCCACACTGGAGAGTGGTGAGTTAAGAGGAGCTCTGGAGAGCGCATCTGCGGAACACAACTGCTTCCCAGGAACATGAATACCGGCTCGAATACCACTTTGATCGATGATGTGTCTGAGAAATTTCACCCGTGATTTGGAAAACGGACATTTTTCACCATTGAGAGTTACACCTGCGTCCCGAAGTCTGCATAAGACTGCCTCAACACGCTGATCGTGTTCATTGTCGTCACGACTATGTGTGAGAATGTCATCCATTTGACAATCCAGTCCTTCTAAGATTTGTTGCATTCCCTTCTGAAAGAGGTCTGGTGCAGACGAAATGCCAAACGGGAGTCGATTAAAGCAATATCGACCAAAAGGTGTAATGAAACAAGTGAGAAGTTTGGATTCTTCAGACAATAGGAGTTGATGGAATCCTGAGTTAGCGTCAAGTTTGGTGAATACTCTTGCTCCGCTTAACTGACTGAGAGTGTGATCTACAGCTGGGAGTGGATGATTTTCACGTCTCACAGATTCGTTTAGTTTGGTGAGATCAACACAAATGCTTCCTCTTTCCGAGGACTTGGGAACCACTACCATGCCGGCACACCATTTGGTAGGAACATCGACTTTCGATATGACGTCGTTGTCTTCCCTAGACATAAGTTCACGTTTCACGCGGTCCATGTGAGGAAGTGGTACACATCTAAATTGCAAAAGGTTTTGCATTCTCCTTGAGTTTGATGGTGTATTCGTCCTCCATTTTCCCTAATCCAGAGAAGGGTTCAGGGAAATGCTTTTTCCATTTGTCACCTGTAACACTATCAATGAGTTCGATGAGGTGCAGTCCTTCGATTGCCGGTCTACCAAGTAGAGAACGTGTGAGACCTCTGGCGACACAGATGTCGTGTTTTGTTTCAACATCCCTGTTTATTCAATTCAGTTTGGCGCGAAACTTTCCAACAACACTCAAGCAGGAGTTTGAGGGACCATGCAGTCTCTTGTTGCTTCTCTGTAGACGGGGAAGATACTGAGATGTGGACATCATACGGAATTACGTTAACGCCAGCCCATGTGTCGATCTTGAATTCTTCTGTGACAGACAAATTTATCTTCAGGTTTACAGTTCATGGCTGAGATGAGCTTGTGCTGAGCATCCCGACAAAGGCATACTCAGGCTCATTAATGTGTAGTAGGAGACTTCGGAGTAGATCTGACTTCTGACTGACTGACTGAGTTTGGTTTTACGCCGCTTTTAGCAATATTCCAGCAACATCACGGCGGGGGACACCAGAAATGAGCTTCACACATTGTACCCATGTGGGGATTCGAACCCGGGTCTTTGGCGTGTCGAGTTAACGCATTAACCACAAGGCTACCCCTACGCCCCCTGACTTCTGACAGTCTAGACTTTGAACTTCGACACACAACATCCCAATGTCCAGCTTAACCACATTTGCGACACGTAGAATTAGATGCAGGACACTCACTTTTAGGATGAGGATTTTTCCCACAATATTTGCAATTTGGTTTAGGTTTGGAGCGATCAATGAATGGACAAGACTTCTTTGATTTTGCTGATGGAGACACTACTTCTTCCACATTGGAATTGCTAGTTACATCAGGCCTACTTTTAGCTCCACGAACAATTAGTTGCTGTTTGTGAATAATTTCTGACTGGCGCACATGACTAACAGCAGACTGTAGAGTGAGATTAGAATCATTCTTGAGTTTTTTCTGACAGTGTCATATCACGAATTACAAAAACTATTCTGTCTAGGATTATCTTGTCATGAACCATAATTGCTTTGTATACTGAAGACGTATACCTCCTGTGTGACCCACTGGGTGTGAGAACAGACTGGAGTGTGATGATCTAATCAGCTGGTCACATTATGGCCACCAGCTACTAGTAGTTGTATACTGAAGACCTATACCCCTTGTGTGACCCACTGGGTGTGAGAACAGACTGGAGTGTGATGATCTAATCAGCTGGTCACATTATGGCCACCAGCTACTAGTAGTTGTATACTGAAGACCTATACCCCTTGTGTGACCCACTGGGTGTGAGAACAGACTGGAGTATGATGATCTAATCAGCTGGTCACATTATGGCCATGGGCTACTAGTAGTTGTATACTGAAGACCTATACCTCCTGTGTGACCCACTGGGTGTGAGAACAGACTGGAGTGTGATGATCTAATCAGCTGGTCACATTATGGCCACCAGCTACTAGTAGTTGTATACTGAAGACCTATACCCCTTGTGTGACCCACTGGGTGTGAGAACAGACTGGAGTGTGATGATCTAATCAGCTGGTCACATTATGGCCACCAGCTACTAGTAGTTGTATACTGTAGACCTATACCCCCTTGTGTGACCCACTGGGTGTGAGAACAGACTGGAGTGTGATGATCTAATCAGCTGGTCACATTATGGCCACCAGCTACTAGTAGTTGTATACTGTAGACCTATACCCCCTGTGTGACCCACTGGGTGTGAGAACAGACTGGAGTATGATGATCTAATCAGCTGGTCACAGTATGGCCACCAGCTACTAGTAGTTGTATACTGTAGACCTATACCTCCTGTGTGACCCACTGGGTGTGAGAACAGACTGGAGTGTGATGATCTAATCAGCTGGTCACAGTATGGCCACCAGCTACTAGTAGTTGTATACTGTAGACCTATACCTCCTGTGTGACCCACTGGGTGTGAGAACAGACTGGAGTGTGATGATCTAATCAGCTGGTCACATTATGGCCACCAGCTACTAGTAGTTGTATACTGAAGACCTATACCCCCTGTGTGACCCACTGGGTGTGAGAACAGACTGAAGTTTGATGACAAACCCTGTATCACAAACAGGGCAAATACAGGTTCGAAACCAAATAAAAGATTCTATTCAACTCTCACATAGACTACCGGGTGCCCTTGTACAAAACAACCTTAGTGCTACAACTATCATAAGTCTATGTTAATTATGGAAGAGACGAACATCTTAGCACTAAGATAACTCTGTTCAATGACCCAGATAAGAATTTGTCTTCAGCAACCCAAGTTGTAAGGCGACTAAAGGATCTGCTCGTCAGGCCGCTGCCTTGGTTGACCTAACGTTGTATCCAAATTGCTCATACTGTTGATCACTGGATTGTTTCGGCCAGACTCAATTATTTACAGACCACTGACATATAAGTGGAATATTGCTGACTGTGACGTTAAACAACAAACCAACCATTTATGTTCAATGGCCTCTAGTTCACCCTAAAAGCTGGAAGACCTGGTCAGCACTTTGTTCCAGAAAGACCACAAGTTCATGGTACAAATAATCAGTAAATATACGTATATTGTTGTGTACATCATTTTAATTCATTTTTGACAAAAAAGTACATAGTAAATTCTTAATTTACAAAATACATGAGGTCACATTCAATCTCGAGAAAATCAAATCTTCTACTTCAACATAACACTTCTCTGCTTGACAGTGAAAGGTAATGTGTTGGAGTAAACTATCTGATTCTTATAAGATGGGTCACATATACAATAACTGTGCTGTACAAACATGAAACAGATAACATTAATCAAAAACATGCTCTATAGTAGGTATTGCTGGGTTGGAAAAACAGTGGGGTCAAATACAGTATGCCTCATTAACATATACACGTTCAAATAGAGAGATTCCATGCTACATCTACATAAAAAACACATGCAGTTCTAATCAGGCAAGTTCAGAAATTCCACAATCAATTAAACCAAACCTTCCTAATTTCACATATTTTCTTTCTGGTTCGTGGGCAAATTAATTTTTGGCTGAAGCTAAGGTTACATCACTAAAAAGAAATATATATTGAAATAACAGTAAGAGATAAATTAAAAACAACAAAATTTCAATTCAACACACTTTCTACATTTTCATTTACTTTTTAAGGAAAGTATCATTTCGGGCAAAAATAACACAAATGATATTTCACTTTACTTTTTCAGAATTACTGTTCATCTCTATAAAACAAGAAAATATATTATTCTTGCAAAAACATTAGTAGTGGAACTGAACTATCCAGGATGATATTATACAATAGACACTACTCTTTGTAACACAGTTACAAAAACAAGGTGATATCAGCTCAGCTGATATCGACATTCAGGTTACAGTGTGACCAGATGATAAAGAGTTCATTTGTGTGTGTTATGATCGTGCTAAAAATTAAGCTTTTCTGGAAATGGAAGAAAACTCAACTGCATTTATTATTTTCATATCATATGCTCATTGAAATCAGTGCAAGTAGCATGTTAAAAGAGAAATATGTTACAAAGATAAACTGTAATCATTATTCTACTGTAACTGGATAATACACAATCTGATTGATCAATCATGGGCAATCAAATGACAATTACAACCTCCGATCAAAACAGCTGTGTTCTTGGTTCCCAAAGTCTATTAAGTGAGTTTAGTTTAGTTTTACGCCGCTTTTAGCAATATTTCAGCAATATGACGGTGGGGGGACACCAGAAATGGGCTTCACACATTGTACCCATGTGGGGAATAGAACTTAAATCTTCAGGTGACAAACGATTGCTTTAACCACTTGGCTACCCCACCACCCAAGTTCTATTTAGTTAATGTGATAATTAAACTCTACTTCAAACACTGACTGTTGCACATCTTGTGATATCTGCACATCTTTATTTAAAGTTTGACAAGCTATTTCATTTTGAAAAATTGTGCTCATAATGACATGACGTACCATATTTGCCATAATAAACGACCAGCATGCGTAGAAAAATATTAACATGGGTGCTTAGAAAGATGATATACAAATCTGAAACATGGTACGTGGGCAAGTTATACAGCGAACACAGCATATATATTTAGTATACATGCATGAAATGTCACATTTAAACATATCAACTGTTAGTGCCTTGTTCTTCTATCCTTAAAGTATGAATTTTAAGATTACAAGAACACTTTCTCAGCATTGCAGCAGATAACAAAAGCACTGCGAAATCGCATGTAAAAGAAGCACCTCCAGTCATAGTCTGGTATGAATCATAAATGAACTTCGAAACCATAAAGCTTGGAAAAAGAGGACCTAAATGATGCATGGAATGTGATGGTTTTCAAGCATAAAAATGTAAAGAAATTTTGTAAAAAATGTTAATAATAAACCATGTAAGAGAACATGATGAAAATCCTGAAGTAATAACTGACTTGGTTGTCATGTTTACTTCCTATTGGCGTAAAGGATCATGTTGTTTTATTGAAACAATGTAGTAGTTGCATTACAACTGATTCTTAAATTGTTTTTCTTCAGTGGTATCCAGTAATAATAATTCATAATAATACATTGTTTCAAATTGCTAACCAGCATTTTTTCTCATATATTTAAAGAGACTTCGAACCTCATCTGACATTATGTAACTATCATTAAATTGATAGTTAAAACTGAATAAAACTGAAACGTGAATACCTGTTGTAAGGCAAACATCTTCAATGTCTCACTTCAACTTGAAGGTTCAGTTTTTAATTTCCAATGACAAATAATTAGTGAAGTTGGTGCCATTTCCCTTTCATTAATGTTGTGTTGCTATAAATGAATAATATTTGACCAGCAAATACAGAATTCTAGTGTACAAAGTCTACATAAAGTTAGTCAGCTGTCCATCAAATACTGGTATACAATACTTTGATACTCTCAGAAACAATGCCCTTTTGTCTCAACATAACATAAAGTACCAACATGGAACAGATTGTATGCCTATCAAGTTTGTTCTGACTGATTTACCACAATGCCATTTAGCTGATGCCACATTTTCAAAACTCCAGCCTTAATGGGTAAGGGGAAACCAGGAATGGGTTTCATCCAGTTTACCTGTTTAGGGAACTTGACCTGGTCATAGGTTGGATAGGCAAAAGCTTCAGCAACCGAACCACCCTACTGCCCGTGCTGGGTTAACTCACATCAGCATACAGTAAGTTAACACAGCTCAATTTGGAACTTAAGGAAATTATAAATTCAAATGAAAATTATAATAAATTAATGGAAACACACTTCCAGGTTGCAGTCAAGATGTACGCTAATGCTGCAGCACTATTTAATTGCATAATACAATTAATCAAACCTACGGAGGCAGTGAGGTTAATATAGGAATATCAGTCATGGTGGCTATTTACAATATTTACAACAGTCCTCGCACGATGGATCATAAAGATTAGTAAAAGAATTTACAATTCTAAATTGTTTTTTATATTTTACACTCTCCAAAAGAATAATGGTACAAATTGAACAAATGTACTGGCACTATGGACTAACTGACAGTGGACGATATGCTACTCCAATAATATTTTCCTTACTACATTCTGAATTAAGTGTAGAATATGCATTTTATTAACCACATTCATGAGATTGTCAACTTTTGCATATATAAGTCACCTTATAATATCAGCATATTCAAATAAAATGATTTCAGATCCACTGTACGTGACACAAAGTATTTACAAAATGCCATTTATATATTTGATTCTCACAAACATTAGTTGTCACGAATGCTGCAGGTAAATTCAAGCAGGTGCTACCCCTTGGAATGTCTTCATCTTAACAGGAGCAGAAACAAGAATTTGGGATCCTTTTTGACATCTACAGCTAACCATTAAGAAAACCATAAAATAACATTTTTTAAGTACGTGCTTATTCATTGACCAATTGACGTTCATGGTTGGGTTTAACAATGCCATCGTAACACAGAGTTAACATGCTAACACAGAGTTAACATCGTAACACAGAGTTAACATGCTAACACAGAGTTAACATTGTAACACAGAGTTGACATCATAACACAGAGTTAACATGCTAACACAGAGTTAACATCGTAACACAGAGTTAACATGCTAACACAGAGTTAACATCGTAACACAGAGTTAACATCGTAACACAGAGTTACAGTAATGGAACAACAGTCATCTGAGGCCTAAACGATTATGTGGGCAAAGTTTCTTGGAATTTAACATACACAAGATTTTCCAAAAGAAATTCAGCCAATATAATTAATAAAAAAATTGATATAAAGGTACTAGGTATTCCCAAGTCAGTATAAACAAAATTTATTTTGACATCACCTTTTAATATTTCAGGTTGACATAAAAAAGCATTTGTTCATTTCCTACAAGTAGTTTTCTGAAGGACTGATATTACAAGTTACAAGATGGTTGCGGTATGTAGCCTCAGCAAAATCTAATGTAAGTCATCATATATCTACTACATAAACATGTGATTCTAACATGAAATGTTGAGCAGGTTATTTGTGATCACTTAAATAAACAAAATGTACCGTATTCAATGTAATAAGTGATGAATCCTTTTAACTCCCACTATATAATGTGAAAGCCAAACTGTGTCATTTATTAAAGACAACATCCAGAAATTTCTTTCCAACAAGCTATAAATACCTTTTCAAATGTAAGCCCTTTTACTTGTATTAGTAGTTTAAGGAAAATTCTTAGGAACCAGTAATTTAATGTAGAAGGTCGAGGAAAATATAAATGACTATATCAGCTTACAAATTCAACTAGAAACAAATTAAAATCCCACAATTGTGAAAAAGGTGTCATATAGTGTGAAATGTAGTGCTGATGTTAGTCAGTAGATTTTCTACTCGTTTGTCTGCAGCAAAGACAACCAACAAATGTATTGACTAGGTTTAAATAGCAGACTCTAGAGTAATATCAGGAGCAGATTGTTTAGAAAAATGACAAAGGTTAGTTGGTAAACATTTTGTAAACATTTTGTGTATTGAGAACACCTTTTGAAGTTTAACTCTGTAGACATTTGACACATGGAACACGGTTATTATAATATCTCAATATGTATATACAAGGGGCAGCTGATGACATATAATATTCAGTACATGTATCTACCAGACATTATGCTTGAGCATATCCAGAGATGGAACTACACGGTGTCCTGATACAATCTCCCACAACACAACCACATAGAACATTCTGACAATGACTCACACACACACACATCTCTTCTGAAGACTATGATGGGGTAAATTTTGGCTCAACCATAAATTAAAATTTCTGCAACCATTTAAAATATGGGCGCATTAACAGTAAATATGATACACATGGTGTAAAAACTATTAGACTAAAAAGTCTTGTTCTAAACATATGAAGGTAAAAGGTGTTTTGAAAGAAATCCCTTCCAAAATAATGTTCTTAATTTGGATTATATACAGTAAATCAAGAAATTAACGTGAAAAATGTGAGTGTCCTTTGATTAATATAAGGTGATGAGCTACTGTCTGGACATATTCAATTGTGAAGTCATGTCATGATAACAACACACTTACGAAAATGTCAAATCCAGTAACGATAGTTGTGGAGAATACATAATGCATTTAAAAAAACATTTGGCCTATTCACTATTTTTGTCAGTTGAACTGATCAATCCCAAGCAGGGAAGGTTCATTCATAAAGAAAGTAAATGATATTGTTCAATTACTCTCATGCTGGCTCCATTGGTGTTGAAACATGAATTAATTTGGTGACACATTAATTTCCTGACTTGCAGTATTCCATGAGCAAAAGGGAGGTAACTCTCCCAATCTACAGATCGTTGCTGAAGGAAATTCATGGTGGGTGGTTGTCTGAGGTACAATCAGGCAATCTGGGAAAGGAATCTTTGGCGCGTTGATGAACACGGAAGTATCTTTTTTATGGTAAATGCACTTTTTATGAAATAGTCTCCGAGGTTACAGCATAAACTTCTTACTTCGAAGATAACAGAATAAAACGACAGCGGCAACCATTGCCAGAATCTGTGGAAATAACAAATGCATATGAGTTCAACAGTGTTCATGGTCATCACAGCATACTCTAGTCAATTACTTGTTGACATGAAAGTGAGTCCTTTGGTAAAAAGTACACTGTAACAGAGTTGTTGGGAACTTATTATTTTCCTTTATAGTCAAGACATTGTCTTTCCAAAAGAAGTGCTGCAATGTATTGTGATCCCCAATACATTAAGAAAGATTTATGTTGACCTCTACAGTTGGACCACATTGTAGAACAGGGTGTAACAGTCCTGGACCCCCGTCTGTTGCTGCCAATAGACCTTCTGCACATCTTAAATTTGGGGGACATATAAGTTTCTTCTTTGAGAGGCATTTTAGAAGTTGTATAGATGAAGGAAAACCAAGTTTTATGGATAGTCAACTTCTTTATTGCAATGAGTGCGACGTTTCAGTGTAGGTACTAACACCGTTATCATCACTTGCTTGATAACGGTGTTAGTACCGACATTAATCAAACGTCGCACTCATTGCAATAAAGAAGTTGACTATCCATAGAACTTGGTTTTCAGACATACAAGTTTACCTGTATGACGCCCACTGTAATTCCGACCACTCCCAGTATGTACATGTTTCGTACAAACCAGTACTCGATCTCTCCGAGACAGCCCTGAAACAGGCACAGCAGTTGCATGATCATCCGCACAACAGCCACACAATATGGTGAACAGCCACAAAATATGGTGAACAGCCACACAATATGGTGAACAACCACACAATATGGTGAACAGCCACACAATATGGTGAACAACCACACAATATGGTGAACAGCTACACAATATGGTGAACAACCACACAATATGGTGAACAGCCACACAATATGGTGAACATTACACAATATGGTGAACAGCCACACAATATGGTGAACAGCCACACAATATGGTGAACAGCCACACAATATGGGGAACAACCACACAATATGGTGAACAGCCACACAATATGGTGAACAACCACACAATATGGTGAACAACCACACAATATGGTGAACAGCTACACAATATGGTGAACAGCCACACAATGTGGTGAACAACCACACAATATGGTGAACAGCCACACAATATGATGAACAACCACACAATATGGTGAGCAGCTATACTGGAGTCAAACAATCAATGCCAAGACACTCTACACCATGAACTATAATTCAACACTTAATGATTCCTCAGCCAAAAGGTCTTTGTGCATTAACCTTCACGCTATCTAGTTATTAGTCAGCATGCATACTGCTCGGTGGCACACAGTGCTGAAGTAGCAGATTACATGTAAATTGTTTCCAAAATGTTGAAATGTTCATATTTCACCACAAATTGTTTGTCTGTCTCTCTTTATCAGTGAAGGTCCGGGTTAGAATATTGATCTTCAGTAACCCATGTTTGTCGTAAGAGGCGACTAACAGGATCAGGTGGTCAGGCTCGCTGACTTGGTTGACATGTGTTATCGGTTCCCAATTGCGCAGATCGATCCTCATGCTGTTGATCACTGAATTGTCTGGTCCAGACTCAATTATTTACAGACCGCCGCCATATAGCTGGAATATTGCTGAGTGTGGGGTAGGGTAAAACTAAACTTACTCACTCTGTCTCTCTTTCTTGTGTAAGTTGTTAAACAACACACTCAGCAATATTCCAGCTATATGACTGAGGCCTACAAGAATCGAGTCTGGACCATTGATTGATATTATGAGCCAAGACCCATGCCTTTGATTGACTGACTGATAGTTGTTTAACGCTGCACGCAGCAATATTCCACCTCTATGGCCACGGTCTGTAAATAGTTGAGTCTGGACCAGACAATCCAGTGACCAACAGCATGAGTATCGATCTACGCAACTGGGATACGATGACATGAGTCAATGAAGTCAGCGAGCCTGACCACCTGATCCCGTTAGCCACCTCTTACAAAGATGAGTTGCTAAAGACCAATTCCAACCCGGATGTTCATGGGTTCTTGTTGCATGTAGACTTGTCATCAACAGTCACCGGGATTGACAAGACTCCATTATACTTGTTAACTTGCCTATTACAACCAACACAGTCACAGTATTACAACAACAGACGATTAAACTCATGTGTTCACTGGAGATTAGGGATCCCACATTTTTCTACACTTTCCAAGGAAAGATGTCACAAATCAAAATAATGGATTATTTGACCCTGTAGAAAGTCGAAGAATGGAATTAACAAATTCAATCATTCATGGAGGATAATCTCTAATCGTTTTGATCAAGGTGTAGCTTACCCTCTCAAACCAGAATGACTTGTCAAGTTTCCCGCAGAACTCTACAGGATGTAGACAGCACGAGTCTGGTACTCGCATGGCCTCTGGCCACGCCTTGATGTGGTACCAGTCTGTGAAGTTATCCACTCCGCAACACTGTAGCTGTTGACGAAGAGGCATGTGGTCATCAATAACATTTGCAACAGACAAGATTCAGCATTATGAAACAGTATCATGGGTACAAACTGCCTACAAAAGTTGTTCATGTTGTGAATACAATACATAGGAAGACTGACATAGACTGAAAAATGGGGATTGTATACCCTCTGCATTCCCATTTTTACCTACCAGAGGTTAATATATGGGCGTGAAGGTCATGTGTATCACAGTGTTACTACCAGCCCTTGAAACAATGGGAGGGGCGATATGATGTGTATCACAGTGTTACTACCAGCCCTTGAAACAAACACTGGGTGTTACAAATCTATCTGAACATATTCCTCCCTATTAAAAATAAAATCCTTCAAACTAGAAAACAAAAACATTTCAATATGCTAATCATAATCCAATATCCATTTACTATGTTTACCAGTCTGTACATTTTGAAAAATGCATTGATAAATTTCAGAATGGAACGTGTTGTCGTTATCCACAATCAGATTCAACCTATATCACATCTGCCTGTATATACACATGTAATAATCCACATCATCAGTACGTGATGTCAGAGAAGAAGCAATCATTTAAATGGTGTTGGTGACCTACGTCAGTCTGTAGGGGAGTCGATGATCTCCATCCAGCCGTCTGTGTTGGGGTCCTGCAAGGCTGGGGTGTAGTCATGGCGGATGCTGGCCAGTAACTCCTTCTTTATCATCATCTGCACCTGCGTCATCGTAACACAGCATTTAGGGATGTAACAAGAGCGTGTGGTATCCCAATACTATTGGTGGGATAAGATATGCATATCAATACTATGGTTGCAAGCGATACATATCCCAATACTAGGGGTGCAATAAGATACGTATCCCAATACTAGGGATGCAATAAGATAAGTATCCAATACTAGGGGTGTCCCAGTGCTATGGTTGCGATACGATTCCTATCCCAATACTATGGTTGCGATATGATATGTATCCTAATACTAGGGGGACCAACTATGTAGCAGACATATCGAAAGTCTGTCCATGTTACCAGTATTTCATGACTCAGATATGTTTTAAAGTGATCTTCAACAGTTTTGCAATTGGTTGATCGTTGTTGAGCTCTTCTAGAGTCAGTAAATAGGTTTTTTGAAAAATTGTCTGTCGAAATTTGTTTACCTAAGCCTGCAAGAGTTCAATGTAATAGTGTTTGTTTCAAGGGTTTCTAGTATAAGGGAGATAACTCTTTCAGTTTTGTTGTTTAAGCTTGTGACATTTCTGAAAGTATTTTGCATTCTTTATCACCATTTTGAGGAAGATAATGTAAAGTTATTCTCTTTCTAAGACAAGTATATTGTATTTCTCAGTGTACATTTCCATTATAAGTAAATGTTCTATTGGTATCCTTTAAATATGCCAGGAACTGGTATAGAGAAAGACAATTTTTGACAGACAGGTCTATGTTTCAATACTAGTTTAGTATTACTGTGGATGTTTGATACATTGTTCAAGTAAATGGTTATTACTTCAATAAGAGAAGTCAGTTACAAGTTTGTCAAATGTTAGAATTTGAACACATTATATCATGTTCGAAGTTATTTCATGTTAAAGATTTCACGCTCTCAAAGGCACATATCATTACATCACCAAAAAAACTAAAGTTTTGGGGTTATTCTTAAAAATTATTACCAGGAGAGGCTACTGAGTGCCTCAGGCATGGTTAGCTGATAATTTCAACACGCTCATTTTATCCTATTCAAACCATTCCGAACATGCATTAAAAGAATCCAAGCTCTTAAAATGTTTACATGTTGATAAAAAAAAGACATTCAAGACATATTCCAGCATCCACACTGTTGTACTAAAAGTACTTCACAGTGATGCTGATCTAAGGGAGATAACCCAGCAAGAGTTACCTCGGCCTTCTTGACAAATCCCAGGGTTCCAGCTGTGATCTCCAGGGCAAAGATGAGCAGCACCATCACAAAATACTGAAATAGGATGACAGAAACATAACAAAATACTGAAACAAGACACATGTTAGAGAAAGTTTAGAAACTGGCAAGATTTGGTAACAGGACTAGTGGTGGAGTCTTTGATAAAATTCCAGCGAAACCATCATGCAGCCCCCTTTAGGAGATAATACCGAACTCAGCAATACTCCAACTATGTGACAAATAATTGAGTCTGAACCAGATGATCTTGTGATTGATATGAGCAACATTCCAACCTTCAGAGTATGACGACCTGCATACAAGGACCTTGCACCTAACCACCAATGTCTTATGGTGGCAGTTGTTGGGGACCAATAGATGCATAAAGCCGTCTGCAACATCTCTAGGGCCTTGATGATGACAGTGATACCATAAACAAATATGTGTCTCCTTCTGGGCCTTACATTCACACAAAGTTTAAGACCTGAGGCCCAAGATTCTTGAAAACAATATCTTAAAACTTTTTGTAAAATGTCATAAAAAAGAATGGCATTAAAGATACATCAAAGGTTAAGGTTTTGCCACCACAAAGGTCACAAGAGAGACCCCTGTTTGAAGCATTGTTGGTATGTTGTCCTTGCCTCAACAAACAAGGCAAAGCCTATTTGGGCTTTGACCAGTCACAGGGATAACTGACACACAACATGTAAAAACACCTCACAGGCTTGCCAAGTGTGGAGTGTCTGCCCTTTCTTTAAACTGTTGTCCTATTTTCTCCTGGTATGAGATGCTGTACGGTAATTGTGTGTGCACCAACCAGCTGACAGCCTCTCAGAAAGTTCGGGTAATATACTCATGTGCAAAACCTGCTTTACCTTGCTTGGACCTTGTAATAATATAATAACATATAAAGGTACAGCACTCTATTCCTAGAAGCCTCTATCACTAAGACAAGTGTAGGGATACACTATCGTCTGCTACAAGTAGTCCGGCTTGGCAGTATGGCTGCCATAGATGCCTCTGTACGTTTGGCAGTAATAATTACATGAATGAACCAAACACGACTTTATTACAGAACACCAGTATATTCAGAACGTTATAGAATGTGCTGGCATACTTGTATGAAGTACTGTCTAAATTATGTTTAAAAATTTCACCTACTGTAATTTTTATTGGCCATGAAAATCATTTTCATTTTTGTGACATTAACTATTATACTGTAAATATAAGTTATAAATAAAAGTGGATCAAAATCACAAAATACCCCAAAACAAACCATTTGCTGCATGAAAACTGCCAGATGCTTGCAGGAATAATAGAAAAAAATTGATTTTATAAATACAGACACAATCATAGTGCCCTGCTATGCTTCTGTAACATAACTCTGTTTTAAATTAGACTACTTCATGCTTCATGGAATTAACTCTACTCTGCAACTCAGGTTGATATTAGACTACTTAGCAACAAGTTATTGCGGACAGAACCACCAGAAACCAATATGTTAGAACTTGTATACTTACACAACGATTAATGCACGTGAGTGTAAAACATCTGTATGATTTTTCTCAGCTGATCAATAAAACACTTACCCCGATCAGCATGCACTGGTTTTCAAGGAAGGCTCCACAGCACCCGAGGAACCCCACGATCAGGATGATAGCGCCGGCTGTGATGCACAGTGCAGATGCACTCAGGAAGCTGTACGCAGGAAGCATGGACACGAACGGGCCACGGTTGAACTGCAGCCATATTCCCAGGGCAAGCACCCCACATCCCATCAGCTGGAAAAACATGAAAAACAGGTCAAACATGGATAGTCAAGTCAAAGGTGTTTTATTGTATCAAAGGCCATCAGCCCATATGCAAGTTTACGTAAATACACTGGTTGAGAATATACCAATTAGTAGAGACAGTGGAAAAAATTAAAATATAACATTCATTTAACAATTGGTGGTAATCAGAAGGACTTTTTACAGTAAGGTAAATCTGAAATCCCATTCAACAAGTTATTTCTTAGGTCCATTCCATGTTTTACAAATAGAGATAATCTAAATATTACATCGGCATCATTCGATGCCAAAATAGAGACAAACCCTATTCTACTCAACTTAGATGAGAAACGTTCTGGTATATATTTAGTTCGTATTTCTGCATAATGAGGACATTCAAAGGTAAAATGTATTTCGTCTTCTAAAGCAGAGCTACATAGTGGAAAAATTCTTTGTATTCTTTCAAGTGATATATTCCGACCATAATTAATCATTAACTTTGACAAGCCAAGTCTGTATTTAATATATATATTTCTTAGGTTACTATTTGTTAAAACTAATAAATATTTTTCTGGCTCTAATAAAGTTTTAAACGTTTTGTAAAGATCAGAACATGAACTGTTTTCTAAATTGGATTGCCATCCTTGATAGAACATATTTATTGCTACTTTACGAAAATCATTTAGAAATAGAAATAGATTGCCAGCAGATTGATTAAACCATACAAACCAATATCCATGTGAGAATAATAGTTAATTCTTCATTTTTACGCTTCACGCAGCTGTAGTCTAACAGAAACATGGCTGCGTTTGATGATTGGCATTTGGATTTGAAATAAAAATTCGGAAGCTGATGACCATAAGGATGGGGAAGGTGATTGAGATGGGAATTTGGATTGTGATTGCGATGGGAATTTGAAAGGGGATTGTGATTGTGAGTGGAATTTGGAAGGGGATTGTGACTGTGATGGGAATTTGAAAGGGGATTGTGACTGTGATGGGAATTTGGAAGGGGATTGTGACTGATGGGAATTTGGAAGGGGATTGTGACTGTGATGGGAATTTGGAAGGGGATTGTGACTGATGGGAATTTGGAAGGGGATTGTGACTGATGGGAATTTGGAAGGGGATTGTGACTGTGATGGGAATTTGGCAGGGGGTTGTGACTGTGATCGGAATTTGAAAGGGGATTGGGATTGTGATGGGAATTTTGAAGGGGATTGTGATTGTGATGGGAATTTGGAAGGATTGTGACTTTGATGGGAATTTGAAAGGGATTGTGACTGTTATGGGAATTTGGAAGAGGAAGGTGATTGGGATCGCTTGATTGTGAAGGGATTGTGACTGTGATGGGAATTTGGAAGGGATTGTGACTGTGATGGGAATTTGAAAGGATTGTGATTGTGATGGAAATTTGAAAGGGGATTGTGATTGTGATGGGAATTTGGAAGGGGATTGTGACTGTGATGGGAATTTGAAAGGGGATTGAGATTGTGATGGGAATTTGGAAGAGGAAGGTGATTAGGACGGCGATTGTGAAGGGGATTTAGATTGGGGAGAGATTGGGCTGATGATGGCGTTTTGTTTTGGATTGGAGTTATGGGTGTGGTTGTGACAGTCTATCAATCATCAATCAATTAACATCCAATCGGCTCATTAACAATTTCTTGGCTTCATGGCTTGTCTTATTTGTTTTTATTCTCCACCTGTCCTCAACAAATTATGCGCTACATGTTATCACCTGTTGTTGTTGTTAGTGTGCTGCTATGGATGGATACTTCTCATCACCTGGTTGCAGTCACTTTTACTGTGATAATGGTCGCTCTATGAAATATACAAGTAACTGCTATCCATACATATGACTGAACAAGCCTGAGTATTTAGCTACAACAAATCGGTGAACCAGGAAAATGGAAGCATGGAAGCATGTAGTATCTTGTAGATATACCCTGTCTGGGATATACCCTTGTGGTTTCAGAAGAGATATGTGCAAGATAACAATGGACAATAGCTCCATAACATCAGCCCACTTGAGCCTTCGGAACTTCACACCTGTATGTACTTAATTGATCATTGGTTATAAAACCAGAAGATGTTCCATCATCAGATCATTAGAAATAGTACACTGAGATCAAATACTGAACTATTAGCGTCTAACTCAGTGGTCATAAATTTGATCTATTCATGTGAGTGAGTGAGTGAGTGAGTGAGTGAGTGAGTGAGTGAGTGAGTGAGTGAGTGAGTGAGTGAGTGAGTGAGTGAGTGAGTGAGTGAGAGGAGTGAGTGAGTGAGTGAGTGAGTGAGTGAGTGAGTGAGGTGAGGAGTGAGTGAGTGAGTGAGGAGGAGTGAGTGAGTGAGTGAGTGAGTGAGTGAGTGAGTGAGTGAGTGAGTGAGTGAGTGAGTGAGTGAGTGAGTGAGTGAGTGAGTGAGTGAGTGAGTGAGTGAGTGAGTGAGTGAGTGAGTGAGTGAGTGAGTGTACTCTATTGTTGTACACTAGTCCAGTTATTTCATGCTTGCCAGCCTAAAGTGGGAGAATAATAGCCCAAAGTTGTGCAGGTGGTAGACAATTACATTCTCGATAAAACCCACAAGCATGAGTATGGGGCTGACAAACCCAGAAAGAAGATGAGGGCCAGCCGAGATTCAAACCCATAATCACAGGTTTCTGGTGTGGTCAGGGAATGAGACAGTGTCCCCTTAATGTGCGAGAGCAGGTATGTTTTTACGAAGCTTTCAACAAAATATAAGCTATCCAAAGAAGGGTAAGGAAGATTACTATGGGACGTCCCATCTCTTGTTGTTATTATTATTATTATTATTATAGGATATTTATATAGCGCACATATCCACGCACTAGTACATGCTCAAGGTGCTGGTATTTTCCCTCGATCATTGGATGTCAATCTCAACGGCACATCTTATTATCAATCTCAGCTCCCTGGGGATCATACAACTCTTGCTGCCACCGAGTTATTGCGTCTTTCCCATCCTTACGAGGTTGTTGTACAGTGTTTCATTGCACCATTTTGTTTTGGTTAATAATATCCTTGTTACATTTCACAAGGAAGTGAGCTTCCTAACTGGGGATCTGATTCGGGAGTGTGAAACAAATAAAGATATTTATAGATGAAGCATCTCCGTGAATTTATAGGAGATTGACACAAATCTTGTTGGTATCAATGTGAAGGTCATCATCAAACTCTCAATCTGGCAGCAGACGGCAACAGGACAACAACACAACAACTGATGTTGTTCCAGAGAATCCACGACCACATCTTCATGTAGAAAGAAACTTTTCCATTTTGGACAACACAGCGTAGAACAAAGAGGTTCTAACCCAACATTACATTCCTTAATCTACGGACAATATTTGCCCTTAAGACCTGGTAAACAAAGCAATGTGACCTTTGTAAATTTACAGCTGAACCTGTCTTAATATCCTCCCCACGTCCTTTGAAGGGGATGGCCAAATCAAAACAATGACCTTCCATGCCCGATGTGGTTAATCAGGCAAATTTGACCCAATCTACTTTCACAGCTCATGCTTTAGGACATCAAACAAGGCCGCTGCCCATTTGTGCTACATTAAACATGGCTGCTAGAGGTAGAATGTGAAGACAAGCACTCTGCCAAACTGAAATACACAAAGTCCCTGAATATTCTGTCGTTTTCTGTTATGTTAACAACTGAATTAATTTTTTAAAGTGCCATACTGGGCACAACATTGTGTTGATCTAATGTAATTAATGTTTACTTTCAAATCATCTATATGTCTCAGTCTCTCTTGATCAAACATGTCGGCCAATTCATGATTGTATACCAAATAATCTTAACATCTGAGAGGCTATCGAGAGACTCAATAACATTTTTTATTCTTGATCCTATATTGGATATGTGATGAGAATGGTGAGTTAGTGAGTGAGTGAAAGAGTGAGTCAGTCTTATGCTGCTTTTAGCAATATTCTAGCAATATCACGTCTGGGAACACCAGAAATGGACTTCACAAATTGTACCCATGCGGGGAATCGAACCCAGGTCTTCAGTTTGACAAGCGAACACACAAACCATAAGGCTACCCCACTGTACCTCTTCAGGTTGAGAGAACTCTTGCAAACTACTTTGTTCTACCTTTTTCTTGAACAGTTTATTCTGTAAAAAAATCTTAGACTGTTAGATCAGTATACAGTAAACTTGTTCTCCAGTTAACGCTGTGGCTTGATATAGATACTTTATCTAACATACTTGAAACTTAGGCATTGAGTTGAGAGGGCTTTTCCTTGTTCAAACCACAGGAAATGAAGGGGAACCCCGAACAACTTCCTTCCACTTCGATAACAATAGCAACATTCTATGTTCACAGCTCTACTGCAGTGAGTGAGTGAGTGAGTGAGTGAGTGAGTGGTTTTACGCTGCTGTTAGCAAAATTCCAGCAATATCACGGCGGGGGACACCAGAAATGGGCTTCACACATTGTACCCATATGGGGAAACGAACCCGGGTTTTCAGCGTGACGAGGGGACACCACCTCCAGCACAGCAAGCCCGATGTCACTGGGGCATACACAACGTAAATATCAGGCTTTCTCAAATATACTTCTAATCACAATATCATTGCATTGTCAACAATATTCAGCTGAGTGATGTCTCCAGATAAATAATCAAGTCTAGACAAGACGATCCAGTGATTGATGATATGAGAAACACAGCCACTGTTCCTTACAACCCGGTCACATTTGTTGCGGGAGAATTATATTCTAACATGGGATTACCACATGACTTGATGGATTGATACAGAAAATATATATGGAAAAAAGGGTTCTCTGTATCTTGATGCTTCTCCCATGGAATTGAAGCCAACTACTATGATGATTTACTTTCAGAAATTGAGTTCTGTAAAAGGTGAAATAGAAAAATCTAAAGGAATATTAAGTATCCCAATTTCTTAGAGTGAGTTTAGTTTTACGCCACACTCAGCAACATTCCAGCTATATGGCAGCGGTCTGTAAACAATCCCATTTTGTTAGAACCAAATATCAAGGTGTGATAAAAATGATTTGCTTGAGTTGGGAAGGGGATGACAAAGGAATTGTATGTCTTGTGAAATTTTCATGTACACATGAGAGACAAGAAACACATTTGGTATCACTTGGGAATACCCCACACAATTTGCACGTATCAAAGACTTATGTGAAAAATATCTTTAAAAATATTGTTGATGTTTAGATGTAGCTCAAGAGACAGCGTTGTCAAGCAAGTATGTCAACCATGCTAACCTTCACACTAGTTGCCTTGCCATGTTTCCACAACATAAACAGCTTTTCTCAAACATGTGTACAGTGTCTGCAGTCCATTGGGGGAGATCACTACTAGACCTTCTTATTGAAAAGGAGCCCCAGGGATTAGCACTGCAGAGAGGGCTTGGCAGTAGGGAAATTAATGTGGTTCAGGGACTGTCAGACAGACTAGATCACTACCAATGGAGCCATTGGTTTGAATTCAATTGTATTAGCTATAAATAAGGATACAAATTTCAATACAAGCATTAAAGACAATTCTGAAGCTGGTTAAAATTATCAATAAATCTTTAATCCGAAATACAAAAGATTGTCTGATTGTTATAGTGCTCAGGTGTCCTCCCATTTGTGAGAACTCCCAGTTGTGAGACACATTAATTAATGGTTAGATCAAAGCACATAGGTGGTGTTTCCACATCCCTACAATGAAAGTGGGATCAGCCCAGTACCCATTTCGCCTACATCCCATTTCGCCTACAGTAATTGAGGATGGCAACTCATCCACCCCTCATTCAGTGAATGGGATGGCCAACATTTCCTGCTCAGTGTCGTCAAAAGCATATGTTCACTGTTTTGTTTGGTTATTTTATTAATTAAAGTGGTTTGTTGCTTAATAATGCAAATTACTGTAATAGGTTTGAGATCAAAGTCACCTTATATCTATGTTGATAAGATTTGATGTTTTAATAAAGCCTTAATAAAGTGGCTACTCTCAGGCTTCCTGCTCAGTGTGCAATTTTGTTATGTTCTCTTCTCCGTGTACTGTTGTTTTAATATAAAGTATATCAGGGATGTGAAATGTTGTTTGTGATGTCAAAATGGCAAACGCATTTCTTCAGAGAGTAGAACTTATTACGACACAGAGAGGCGGGCAGCAAGTTCTATATGATGGATATCGCTATCGACTGAATGTGAAATGTCAGGTGGCAACACACTGGAAGTGTGTTCAGACAGGATGCAAGGCACGTTGCAGTACCATAGGGGACTACATCACCATTGCATCTGACCACTGCCATCCCAGAGAGAATGAAGACCATACGCGTCTTCTAAGCCGGGTCCGTGAACGTGTGCAGACCGACATCACTCCAGTTCAGCAGATCTACAATGATGAGCTGAATGCAGCTGAAGACGTGAACGCAGCAACCATGCCATCCTTCAACACCTGAAGTCTGGACTGTATCGACAGCGAAGCAAGTGTATTCCACCTCTTCCCCAGTCTCAAACTGAGGTTGATCTGCAAGAACCTTGGACTCAGACCCTAAATGGCGACCAGTTCCTGTGCATCGACGACGGGGTTGACGACAAGCTGCTCGTATTTGCTACAACTGATATCGCCAGAAGTAATCCAGACTGATTTTGAAGCTGCCGTCATTAGTGCCATTGCAGAAGTGTTCCCTGAGTTGCCACCCCGTGGATGCTACTTCCATTACTGTCAGGCCCTTTGGCATCACGTTGTTGACTATGGCCTGGCCTTTCGATTAGAAGGACCAGAACCTAACAGTCCGCTCACATGTGAACAGAGTTGGTGCCTTGCCCCTGCTGCCTATTGGTGAAATCCACCATGCCTGGATGGCTGTAATGGATGCAGGACCCAACACTCCATCCATCCAGCGATTCAATGACTACGTCACGGCCTACTGGGTGGACTACGACGCACGCTTTCCAAGAGAGATATGGAACCAACATAAAACTATTGGCCCGAGAACTAACAACCACCTGGAAGGCTTCCATCTGGGACTAAAGAAGAAGTTGAAGAAGTCCCATCCTAACCTCTAGGAATTTGTCAAGGAAATCAAGAAGATTACTTTGTCCGAATTTTGAACTTGATAAAAAGGAAATATTGTAAATTTAACATCGTTTCCTTTCGCACAGACGTCTAGATGTTCACTCAGTGGGATACATCAGGTTTCAGGACACTTTATTTGTTGTTTGTGGACACAAACCCGGGCTCTTAAATTTTCTGATTGACCAATATACTGTTCATTACAGCCACTATTAATGGCCCCCTCACTACCCATATGCTCAACCCCTCGTCCACTATTAATGGCCCCCTCACTACCCATATGCTCAACCCCTCGACCACTATTAATGGCCCCCTCACTACCCATATGCTCAACCCCTCGACCACTATTAATAGCACCCTACGCTACCCATATGCTCAACACCTCGACCGCTATTAATGGCACCCCATGCTACCCATATGCTCAACCCCCCTGACCACTATCAATGGCACACTGTGCTATCAATATGATCACCCCCCCAAAAAACCCTCAAACAAAACAATAAAAAAAAAAAAAATAAAAAATAAAAAAATAAAAATAAAATAAAAATAAATAAAAATAAATAAATACACAATAAAATCCCCACTATCAATGGCACCCCACGCTACCCATATGCTCACCCCTCTCAACACCAGTAACAGCACCCTATACTACCCATTGTGCCCACCCCATTCCCCACTATCAATGGCACCCCACGCTACCCATTTGCCCACCCCTCTCAACACTAGTAACGTCACTCCCTAGTAAATAGAGTAGAGTACTCTACTTGAGTTAGCTGTGAAGGTCTCAAAGGAAGTGAACAAAATATCCAAATGGGAAAGGCTCCCCCCCTGGCACTGCCATAAAATATTTAGGAACATGTATGATAACATGCATACACTGAAGTTGACTTAAGCTCCATTTCACACATAGAAGAATGAGTGCACAGTCGAGAAGAAAGCTATAATTAGAGACCTGTGATGTGACCACACTTGTATTGTTGTGTCATCCAACAATGTATCATGTGACTAACCACAAACAATGGTGGGAGTGTCGCAGTGTGTACTGAATACCCCATACACACAGACAACATAACATCTCTATTGAACAATGTTGAACATCATTTCTTCATTTTCATTGATGTTCACATGGCACATTGTCAATATAGTTCAACACTGATGATATGAGTATGACCACTGTTGACAATAAGAAACAAAGTTGATGATAAGCCCACTGTTGACAATAAGAGACAAAGTTGATGATAAGCCCACTGTTGACAATAAGAAACAAAGTTGATGGTGTAACCACTGCCGACAATATGGCTCAAAGTTGATGATATAAGCAGTGTTGACAATAATGCTCATTGTTTATAACAATGTTGACAGTGTTGCCTAATGATGACATTATATCCACTGTTGACAACATTGACAACATAACCACTGTTAACATTGGCACAGTAACCACCACTGTGTACAACATGTTGCTATGTTGACAATACAACCAATGTTGACAACATCCTGCTCACTGTTTAACCAATGTTGTCACAATTGCATTACCTGTATATCTGCAGAGAGCATGCTTAAAATAAGCAAACGAACGCCCAATATGTTTTTCAAGATTTTAATAATATGATTACAGTTAATCTGTCATGGCCTTAAAAGATTATTTATATTCATGAAAAATTCAAGTGTTCCTTAACTACTCATCAACCTCAACTCCAAATACTCACCCAGATAAACACATTGAAGGCGAAGAAGATGTACTTCACTACACAGAAACTGGTTTTCTCAGCACCCATCTTGTCCTTGTTCCGTAATTTGGTATTGCTGTATCTGAAATTACAAAACCAAAATGAGACAGGTATCAAATTTTCGAAGCAGTTTCAATTATGGGAACTGCTGCTCCAACCCGCAGTGCTCATCAGCCTAGGAGATACAGAGTGGAATATATCATGTTAACTCACTAGGCTCAAAGGTCAGATGGTTTTGTGTCAGGACGACCTGTCATGTATTATTATTACCCTCTGATAGCTCAGGGCAAGTGAACAGTGTGTCAGGCTGGTGATATATGACAAATATAAACATCTCTACAGTGCATATCTGGGTTTTTCACATGTGGCTGCAGGAGACTACACTGTGTAACACTTAAGCAGATGCTTTGATCATATAGATACCCATTTTAAGGTGACAAACATGCAAGGTTTCAATCAGTTTGTGAATGAGTTTTGTGTAATGCCTGTCAATAATATTCCAGTCATTTCAGGGCATGCTGTAAATATTCTAATCAGAGCCTTAAAAAAAATGATTGACAGCAAGAGCCATCAGATACCATGATCACCATGACACACTGTGAGCAAGGTCACCATGACATACTGTACAATGTCACCGTGACACACTGTAAGCAAGGTCACCCGTTGTACCTTTTTGTAGTACCAAAGCCTCCATGAGGGGATTCGGAGCTAGAGTGGATCACCAGCAACCTATGATGGTTGTAAGAAGATCCCAACTACATGGATTGGCAGTCTGGCTCAGTGACAATGTTGATTCGGCGTCATCAAAACGGTGATTAAAATATATATCAATCATAGGATTATCTGATCCTTACTCAATTAATACAGGCCAAGATCATATAGCTGGAATATTGCTGATAGCATCATCATTCAACAAGAAATACAAAACAAGTTACTCTGTACTACATGATCACTGTTATCTTGGTATTTCCTTATACACAAATAATAATTGTATACTCAATGGTTCAAACAAGAGAACTGAAACACACACATTTTCAGGAATTCTTACTGCGTCTATTTTAAATTTGATTTAAATTTGAAATTAGATCAATATGATGTTTGCCTAGGGACTGGAAAATTGAAAAAAAGAGAAACATCACGAAAACTTGTCATAACTTTTCAATCTTGTTAGTGTGATATTAAATTTCCATGCATCAAACATGTCAAATACTCAAGAACTCCCACAAGTCTGAAACAACATCAAGCTTTTCTCCTAAAAAATATTTTCTCCTTCGTAACATTCATCAACAACTACACCCACCACCCAGTAAGAAGGAATATTATTTGACACAGTTATAGACTTTATTTCCCCATACCCGCCCTATCTATTACAGTGAGTGAGTGAGTGAGTTGGCTTTTAGCAATACTTTAGAAATATAACAGCAGGGGGGGACCAGAAAAGGTTTGGTTTGTTTCTTGTTTAACGAAGCACTCAGCAATATTCCAGCTATATGGCGGTGGTCTGTAAATATTCGAGTCTGGACCAGACAATCCAGTGATGAACAGCATGAGCGTCGATCTATGCAATTGGGATACGACGATATGTGTCAACCAAGTCAGCGAGCCTGACCACCTGATCCTGTTATTCGACTCTTATGACAAGCATGGGTTACTGAAGACCAATTCTAACCCGGATATTCACTGGTGCACCAGGGAAGGCTTCACACAATGTACCCATGTGGTGAATCAAAACTGGGTCTTCAGCATAACAAACGAATGCATTAACTACTAGTCTACCACACCAGGCACCAATCCATCACACACAAAAACACGTAAAATAAGGCCAAAAAAAAAATTATGTCTGTTTCCGGTAACCCAACCGACCCTAAATCTTTTTTTGACCAAGTCAAAATCATGACTGGAGCGCATTTCAACTCATCATTTTCATCCAAATCGAGTATGATGTTTTCATGTTTTTCAGTGTATGTAGGGCTAAAATGGATTGCATTAAATTGGCATAATTGGCTCTCACTGACAAAACCTGCAAATAAATAACATGAATAATGATTTGATATAGAAATCTTTCAATGTTTCATCACAAGGCATTGTCACTACATGATATGGTATCCTTGAAGACCTCAGGTGCCCACCTGGTGCAAAAAAAAAAAGAAAGTTAAAAAAAGAGAAGATAAAACCGACCCATGTACCCTATTTTTAAATAGCATGTAATAGGAAACGGACATATATTTTTTTGGGCCTAAGGTACACTTGAAAAAAATGTCTAATTTTGATATTTTGCGGGAAAAACGTGAACTATATGCCATGTATTAGCATTAACAGCACTAATTGAGCAATTGGAAAAACAATGTTCTGCGGCTTGGGCTGATGACTGCTGATCTTGAAGACAAATATGAGTAATGACGTCAATAAGTGCTCCATATGGAGAAAAAATCTATGACTCTCACGATCCTGGTCCACATAAACATCCAGGTAACAAAACAACCTTGCATAATTCAGATTCTAGACTCGTAACAAATCATGGACTTAATGTCTCAATCAATACATAGACACTCTCTGACATCTCCTTCAAGACTTTTGTGACGAGTTCCGCATGCTCTTGTCAATTTGGCCTATTTAATCGCAATCTCAGAGATCTGACTTCGCATGGGAAAAGCTTTGTTTTGAGGCGTGAAAACCCTTGCTCCATCTTGCCAAACTTGAGTGTGGGATTGTTGAGGGTTTAGGAAGCATTGACAGAATTTCCCAGCATAGCAGGATGATTGGATGATAAACAGTTCCACACTCTTTAAAGTATCCTTAATCCTTGGAAGGAAAATAAAGTTGTACTTCAAGAGAGAGATTCTCAATGTTTGGACTGAATTTAAGAATTCTTTCTGAACTAGAGACAAAGAAAATGTATGAAACTGTTGAAAGTCATTTGTGAACATTTAGTTTTTGTGCTTGTGTTATTGTTAAACCTGCTGTAACCATGATACAGTAGATGTCTAAGTTTGAAAACGAATAACAAGAAATAACAGATGTTTATTTTAACCTTTTAAAATTCAAGTGAAGTAATTTATTTCCAACTTATTTTTGATCTTTCGCTGAATAAATCAAGAACTGATACAGTATACTGATGTTAGAACTGTATCAGGATTTCTGATATTTACACACCCGTGAAGATCCGGGTTAGAATTGACTAACGGGATCGGGTGGTAAGGCTTGCTGACTTGGTTGACGCATGTCAGTGTATCCCAATTGCGTAGATTGATGCTCAGGCTGTTGATCACTGGATTGTCTGGTCCTGACTCGATTATTTACAGACCGCAGCCATGCAGCTGGAATATTGCTGAGTGCTGCGCAAAACTAAACTCACTCACTCTGATATTAACCGTAACATGTCTTACCTTGGACTGTCAATACAACCTGATCAGTTTTCCAACTTTCTAGAACTAGATGGGGATGAAAATACAGGACCTCCCTACGCACTTCTGGACCATGTTATATTTAACTCAACACGCAAGACAAACATTATACATGGCAGTCCATATTCCTCTGTCTGTACAATATATTATAGTTTTAAAGAAAACATCATCTTGTAATAGGTACAAGCATATAATTGTCTAATACTCAGCACTCGCTACTCAAACCAGCATTTCAAACAGTCACTATATTCCAGTGTAGATGGTACCAGGTACTACTTAGTCACAGAAAACATCAGCCTAGAATGTGTACTAGTAATGTCCTACCATTTCTAAAATGTCTTCGTCAACATTTGAAGCAAGTTTGTTCACTACCACTGGTCATGTAATATTAATATCTCTGAAAACAAATCTAATCTTAACTTGAATGTGAAAATATAGAAATATCTTGAACAATTATGCAAGAATACCTATCTTGAATCTTGTGCCATTCAAAGATGGAATTTGTCTTGGTACAATAATGGTCGGGCAAAGAATACTTTTTACAATTTGGTCATGTAACTGACCCAATCAGTCATGTGACATTTAATCCATGCTGGGATAATGAGAAAACTGATTCAGCTATTCCTGCCAGTCCCCATGATGACGAAGTTCTGACAACCTCCAACACTTGCATCAAGAATATCTTCAGTATTTTAGTGTGTGAGTATATTTAGCTGAAAATATAATATTTTTTTCACAGAGGCGAATATTCCAACATGTCCAATACTGAAAATTTGCATCATCAACATCTATTTCCCTGGATACATAACATCCATAGTCAGTTTCATTTATCCTCCAAAATATATTTGAACAGGCATAAAAAGGCACGATTGTGATGAAAGTTATATGAATTAATCACTGAAAATCCTGAGCGTTTTATATAAATCCTCCTTTGTATCTGACGAAGGAAGGACATGTAAAATTTCAAAGACGTCATTCTGTGTCAACTTTTCATATTTAGTAATTATAAATTTCTGTTTTTGCAGAAGGATTGGGACAATTTGAGTACATTTAAAGACTGTTGTTATCTCATTTCAAAATACCTGCATCAACCAACTCAATTTCAGAAAAACCTTTGGGAAATTATGTAAAAGATTTTGTAAGAATATTAAATAGCAGGCCCTGAACAATTTGTAAGGGACTTGAAGTTAATTTAATAATAACCTTTAGATTTATTTATTTGAAACTAAAACCTTTCAGCCATCACATTAATCTTAATAAAACCGTACACGTATCATTTCCACAACTTCATAATAGGTAGTCATAAGGAATATATCATAACTATAACACATCCCTACCTTCTTGTTAACATAATGAATCCAGGTATTATCCAATGTCTGGCGAAAAAATCCTGTGACTGCCTTTTCTAATGAAAGAATCCCCACACTGACAAACTCGATGCTCTCTAACGAGATTATGAAGATTTTAACAAATTAGCATTTCCTGTGTGTCCCCAGCTGACCTGAGCGGGACGGAACCGCCAGTATGTAGGAAGTGCAAGTGAAACCTTCGGTATGAAACGCGATGTGGACAGTGTTCCCCACACAAGTAGACTCGCTACACAATCTCTGAATGGGTCACATTGTTTCATGCTGTTTTCCTAACAAATTTACAGTTTGTACAAGACAATTAACAACAAACAAAAGATTTCCCTGTAAACAAGTCAACATCTGGGGCAGTCTACAGGTGAAACAGCTATTAGAAGATTATTGACCAAACTGGGGTTTGTTCTCTGCACATACAATCTTGGCATATCAACACATGATTTCCCTATAGCTGCAGAAAGTAAGATTTTGTCATGGATACGATCACTCTGAGCATGTGAGTCAAATTAGCAACTGTCAGAATTTCATTGCCACAGACAGAGGCAGGTGGAGCAATCTTAAATTTTATCTCACAAACTATTTAATTTAGCTTAAATTTGTGAAAAATTGTACATATTTACATCAATACAGCTTTTGTGTTTTTCTGTCTCAAGAACATTTCAAGCCAAACTATTGTGCTACAACATTGCACTTTGAATGGACATAATATCACACAATCTTACTTCATCTCACAGTGTGGGGTGGTTGAGTAGACTAGTGGTTACAGCGTTCGCTCGTCACACTGAAGACCCAGTTTCGATTCTCCACATGGGTACAATGTGTGAAGCCCATTTCTGGTGTTCCCCGCCATGATATTGCTGGAATATTGCTAAAAGCGGCGTAAAACCATACTCACTAACTCACTCATCTCACAGTGTCACACTGTTTTCAATGAATAAATCCAGTGCTGGGAGTGATCTTTAAATACTGACATCCATGAAGATCCGGGTTAGAACTGACCTTCAGCAACCCTTGCTTGTCATAAGAGGCGACTAACGGGATTGAGTGGTCAGGCTCGCTGACTTGGTTGACACATATCATTGTATCGAAATTTTCGTAGGACAATGATCTTGATGTTGATCACTGGATTGTTTGGTCCAGACTCTATTATTAACAGACTACCGCCATATAGCTGGAATATTGCCGAGTGCGGCATTAAACAACAAACAAAATTAATACGGACTTGTTATATTTAGAGTGATTTGTCACTTTTTGACAGATATGAATGGTAGGGAAATATCTTGTGTTACACAATAACACATTTACCTAACACACAAACATGGTCAACTAAAATTTTAGTCCATCCAAAAATGAAGTAGGTAGGTTTTGGTTGTTTCTAATTTCTTGTTTTGAGTAATTAAAAAATCAGCTTTCAAATGAAGACAGTGGCTGCTTTTCTATTGTAAAATATAACACATTTAAAGCTGGTGGCATCAAATATGACCAGTACTTGTATGGTGATTATAGCTGCAGTAAGACATGCAAGAAAGGTCTACACAAAAGGTCCCAGCTTAGGGCCACTAAGGAAAATAGTACCACACATGTATGTTTCAGATTTTGGGGTCTATGCAGGCACAGGTTGACCTACAGGGTACCATGGGTATAGTTTGATCATTTCTTGACATGCCCTGTATATACTGTCAGAGATCACAATCTGGGTGTTATACCCTGTATATACTGTCAGGGAGATCACAATGTAGGTGATATACCCTGTATATACTGTCAGGGTGATCACAATGTCGGTGATATACCCTGTATATACTGTCAGGGAGATCACAATGTGGGTGATATACCCTGTATATACTGTCAGGGTGATCACAATGTGGGTGATATACCCTGTATATACTGTCAGGGAGATAACAATGTGGGTGATATACCCTGTATATACTGTCAGGGTGATCACAATGTGGGTGATATACCCTGTATATACTGTCAGGGTGATCACAATGTGGGTGATATACCCTGTATATACTGTCAGGGTGATCACAATGTGGGTGATATACCCTGTATATACTGTCAGGGAGATCACAATGTGGGTGATATATCCTGTATATACTGTCAGGGAGATCACAATGTGGGTGATATACCCTGTATATACTGTCAGGGTGATCACAATGTGGGTGATATACCCTGTATATATCCTGTATATACTGTCAGGATGATCACAATGTGGGTGATATACCCTGTATATACTGTCAGGGTGATCACAATGTGGGTGATATACCCTGTATATACTGTCAGGATGATCACAATGTGGGTGATATACCCTGTATATACTGTCAGGATGATCACAATGTGGGTGATATACCCTGTATATACTGTCAGGATGATCACAATGTGGGTGATATACCCTGTATATACTGTCAGGGAGATCACAATGTGGGTGATATACCCTGTATATACTGTCAGGGTGATCACAATGTGGGTGATATACCGTGTATATACTGTCAAGGAGATCACAATGTGGGTGATATACCCTGTATATACTGTCACAGAGATCACAATGTGGGTGATATACCCTGTATATACTGTCAGGGAGATCACAATGTGGGTGATATACCCTGTATATACTGTCAGAGAGATCACAATGTGGGTGATATACCCTGTATATACTGTCAGGGTGATCACAATGTGGGTGATATATCCTGTATATACTGTCAGAGAGATCACAATGTGGGTGATATACCCTGTATATACTGTCAGGGAGATCACAATGTGGGTGATATATCCTGTATATACTGTCAGGGAGATCACAATGTAGGTGATATACCCTGTATATACTGTCAGAGAGATCACAATGTGGGTGATATACCCTGTATATACTGTCAGGAGATCACAATGTGGGTGATATACCCTGCATATACTGTCAGGGAGATCACAATGTGGGTGATATACCCTGTATATACTGTCAGGGTGATCACAATGTGGGTGATATACCCTGTATATACTGTCAGGAGATCACAATGTGATATACCCTGGTCAGGGTGATATATCCTGTATATACTGTCAGGGTGATCACAATGTGGGTGATATACCCTGTATATACTGTCAGAGATCACAATGTGGGTGATGATACCCTGTATATACTGTCAGGGTGATCACAATGTGGGTGATATACACTGTATATACTGTCAGGAGATCACAATGTGGGTGATATACCCTGTATATACTGTCAGGGTGATCACAATGTGGGTGATATACCCTGTATATACTGTCAGGGTGATCACAATGTGGGTGATATACCCTGTATATACTGTCAGGGTGATCACAATGTGGGTGATATATCCTGTATATACTGTCAGGGAGATCACAATGTGGGTGATATACCCTGTATATACTGTCAGGGAGATCACAATGTGGGTGATATACCCTGTATATACCTGTCAGGAGATCACAATGTGGGTGATATACCCTGTATATACCGTCAGGAGATCACAATGAGGGTCATATGCCCTGTATATACTGTCAGGGAGATCACAATGTGGGTGATATACCCTGTATATACTGTCAGGGAGATCACAATGTGGGTGATATACTCTGTATATACTGTCAGGGAGATCACAATGTGGGTGATATACCCTGTATATACTGTCAGGGAGATCACAATGTGGGTGATATACCCTGTATATACTGTCAGGAGATCACAATGTGGGTGATATACCCTGTATATACTGTCAGGGAGATCACAATGTGGGTGATATATCCCTGTATATACTGTCAGGGAGATCACAATGTGGGTGATATACCCTGTATATACTGTCAGGGAGATCACAATGTGGGTGATATACCCTGTATATACTGTCAGGGAGATCACAATGTGGGTGATATACCCTGTATATACTGTCAGGGAGATCACAATGTGGGTGATATACCCTGTATATACTCGTCATGTGGGGAGATCACAATGATGGGGTGATATACCCTGTATATACTGTCAGGGAGATCACAATGTGGGTGATATACTCTGTATATACTGTCAGGGAGATCACAATGTGGGTGATATACCCTGTATATACAGGAGATCACAATGTGGGTGATATACCCTGTATATCTGTCAGGAGATCACAATGTGGGTGATATACCCTGTATATACTGTCAGGAGATCACAATGAGGGTGATATACTCTGTATATACTGTCAGGAGATCACAATGTGGGTGATATACTGTCCTGATATATCCTGTATATACTGTCAGGGAGATCACAATGTGGGTGATATACCCTGTATATACTGTCAGGGAGATCACAATGTGGGTGATATACTCTGTATATACTGTCAGGGAGATCACAATGTGGGTGATATACCCTGTATATACTGTCAGGGAGATCACAATGTGGGTGATATACTCTGTATATACTGTCAGGGAGATCACAATGTGGGTGATATACCCTGTATATACTGTCACGGAGATCACAATGTGGGTGATATACCCTGTATATACTGTCAGGGAGATCACAATGAGGGTCATATGCCCTGTACATACTGTCAGGGAGATCACAAAGTGGATGATATGCCTTTTATATACAGTGTACTCTGTCAATACAGGCATCACTCGGGACCAAATAAAAATGCAGGTTTTGACAGAGTGCCGGTTTAGGCCGGTTGCAAGTTCGCCTATGACGCCGGCGCACACAGGAAGCTCACTGTCGTACTGTCAATTTAGCATTAACAACATGTTTGAATAAGAAACATTTATTAATTACTCTATGTAAGTGACACGTACCACTCACTAATTAATAAGAAACTGATTAACACTTCCCGTTTCTGAATAATCTCGGGAGTAACCCCGAATTGTGTTGTTACATCATTTGGACCTAATTGCATCAAAGGGTTGCGTCGTCCTTCATGTGCCGGTTTTTACAGATTCGTTTTCATAACAACTTGTTCGTTGGAACTGAAAAACAATGCCGATATCCTGAGTAGGCAGATGCCAATGTTTACAGATGTTTCTAAATGATAATTAAGTGCATTTCTGCCGGGACTGAAACTTTGTGCTGATGTAGACAGAGTGCCGGTGTTTACAGATACCGA